CTCCTTCTTCTTCTTATTGTATTGAGTGCAGCGGCTATGTAGTGATCCATGATCACTACATAGATCAGGCTCATAGTGATTCTCCTGTTTTCAGCCCCCCAAGTGCTAGGATTACAGGTGTGCACTGCCACGGCCAGTCTCGTTCCTCTCAGAGCGCCCGGGGGCCAAGGCTAGCACAGTTCGCGGAGGCCCAAAGCCCAGCCTCTGTGCTCTGCCTAAGCAGGACTTTAGTCCACTGAGCTGTCTGTCCAACCCTACACCTTATTTTTTGTTCTAACAGCAGACATAAAGTAAAAAGAGGTGAAATTCATGTTTATTTTAAAAATTGAAGAAATATAAATTATGTAGTGATTCTCAGGCTTATATGTCTGGAAATCTGAACAACCAATTTGAAGAAAACAATATACAATGCAACAAGCACTTTTGAGGGCCAGCCAAATAGCTCGGCCAATTAAAGCACCTGCAACCAGGCACAGAGTCCAGGGGTTCAATCCCCAGGCCTGCTGTGCCGGCCCCGCCCCTGGGGTGCACTGAAATGGAGATTGAGCTTGGGTGTGGTGACGTGCACCTGTAGTGCCAGCTCTTGGGAGGCTGTAAAAAGCTGGATCACTATGGGTCTAATCCAGTAGTGAGACCCTAAACACCCTGTAAGCCCTTCCCTAAAATACGAAATAAACACACACAAAAAATAACAAAAACAACCATTGGGTTTTTTTTTTAAAGTTTTGATTATGAAATTTTAATTTGTTGCTTACATACTTCATACATGTTTTGCAAAAATTCAATTATTTTGAGTGAATCAAAGCATCTAGCTTTTATTTTCTGTTAGAGATGAATCTTTTTCACTGGTTCGCTGACCTTCCTCTTCTTCCTGGAACTCTCAGAACTTTGCTGACTGTACACAAAATTCATTCTTTGCATTTGATTGTTGCATTTCTTCTCCTCTTCCTCTTCCTCCTCCTCCTCCTCTTCACAGTCTAGGCCCTGATGAGCAATTTCAGTAGTGCTGTTCTCCAGAAAGAGATTATTCTCCAAATCAGGCATTCTGGAAGCCTCTGTTGTGACTTTCACTTTCATGCTATGAAAGCCAGTGGAGACCAATCCAACTTGCAGGTTGATGGGGTCTCCCTCAAACAGCAGGACTTGTGAGTTCACTCCTTTAAAACCAGGGGGTTGGTAGTCTTGTGGGGTCACTTCCTTATAGTAATGAAGTTTCATAGTAAGTATAACATCATTAGGAAGGGGTCCAAGGTTTTGCACCAATATGTATAATTTTCGAATCAGTAGAACACTGGCTTTCTTAATATCTCCACTGTTTGTCCCACTTTCAAAGCTTGTATTACTACTGTCAAAATCCATAGTGGCTCCTGCTTTTGTGTATTTGAATTTGAACTGGTATATCTCAGTAACATTCTGTTTGTCTCACAGGATTACATAATTCAGAGTATTTCCAGATATAAAGACAACTTAATTTTCCACTTTGTGCTCAGGTTCCTTAGGATTTGTATAAAGGTATTTCTTTTCCAAGGCATGAAAACAACCTTGAATCCACTTGATAATATGCAGTGATCCAGGACATTTTTTGTCTTCTCGGAGGATTTTTAAACTGAGGTAGTTACTGGCGATTTCAGTCCATATTCAGCTGTCTCTAAGGCAGAGGGGCACAGGGCAGAGAGCAGCACTTCATGGCGGCTGAGCAGCAGCAGCAACAACAACAACAAGGAGCAATGGCTCAAAAACAACCATTGTTGAACTCATCATTTTCTTTAGTGAAGATCTGGGCTTTTGGGTGGTTTTTTTTCCCCATTTTTATTATTTTTATATTCTTATTTAAAATAAAAATTAAAAACATTATAGTTTATTTAACGTATTCTCTGTCTACTGCCCATAATTTTTGATAAATTAATTCTTATAATTCAGATTGTTAATATATCATGCCAATTAATTATCAATATGCTATCAAGCAAATCTATAAAAACCAGCTTATTAATATGAAATCATGCATTTTTTAAAAAGTAACATTCATATGTATTATTTCTCCTTTACTTGCTAACTCAAAATATTTAGTTGTTGTTTCTGATTTTGTTATTTTTTATTGTTTACTACCTCATCTACTCTTAGGTGTGATATTATTTTCTGTTTATCTACCTAAGAGCATAAATTTTTTGAGGTCCTACTGAGTGCTTTCATGTACAACAACTATGTCCTTTAAAAAATTAATCCACACTTAGATTTTAGTATCTTTTCATGATCTCACTCAGTGAAGAGATTGTGGATATTTCCTACCTTCATGCAATGAAACAATATAAAAATTTCTGGCATTTATTTTTACTTGTACTTTCTGGTAGCTTGACTTTTTTTTTAATTATACAACTGACTTTGATTTTTCAGATTATTTTCTTTTTAACTGATATCTGTATTTTCAGCCAGAAGGGTTTAATTTTTCAAAATTTATTTTGTTATCAGAGCACTTTAAGTACATATATTTATATACTATATCCAAGATTTGGACTTAAGATAATTTTAGGTTCTTTTTTAAATTTTTATTTATTATTTATTTGCTACCATGTGTCTTACTAAACAGGTCGGATTCCTGTCTCTGTCTACCCAGTTCTGGGATTACTGGCATGCACCACCATGCTGGTTCAGGGCCCAAACAGCTCATCTGGTGCTCCAGAGCCTGCTTGGCAGACAGTACCAGGGATCAAACACGGGACCTTGTATTCCAGTCAGGTGCATAGACCACTATCTCCCCAGCCAATAGGCCCAATTTTAAAAGTCTCAGATAAAGGCAAAAAGAAAAAAAAAATCATTTATTGTACACTTTTAATTCTCTAAATTATGAATTGGCAATGTGGCCTCGAGGCAAACACAGATTGCCTACTGTCTGTGCAGAATTTTATTGTAACACAGACTGGAAACTCACTAAAACTCTACCACCCTGAGTTTGAGATTTCTTATTGCATTTTTGCTGAATAATTAATTCTAATTTCCATATGTCCCAGCTCATGAACTACTAAAGCTGGTTCCAACTAAGCAGACATTTATTATTTCTTAATGATCATCCTCCAGTTTTTTTTTTTTTTTAACTCTAATCATGTGCATTTATCTGTTTTCCAGCCCACAAGCAGGGAGTCTTTATTTGGTGCACGGGATTTTAGTCTTATACATTGCTGCTTAAACTTAGTACTTAAGTAAGTAATTTTATAGAACTTATAAACATTTTATTATGAGGACTACTGTAATAATATCCTCACAAAATGATGCTATAACAATAAAAAGCTTAAGACTCACTATATTTGGGGAATCGTTAACAATAATTGTTAGATACTATGTGGAAAACAACAAAATATCTGAAAGAATAGCATTTTTCTTCTATAAATTCCAATCTACCTCTGGAAGTAGAATAGATATAAAAAATATATTTCTTCATTAAAGAAGCAGTTAAGGCTGGAGAGATAGCCCAGTGAACTAAGCACCTGGTTAAGCAAGCTCAAGGACCAGGGTTCCATCCCTGGTACCAAGTCCAGGTGTGGTGAGGCATGCCTATAATCCCAGTGCTGGGGGGAGGGGCCTAAAAGCAGAAGGATGACTAGGAGTCTGCACTGCATAGTGAGACCCTGTACCAAATATATTAATGAAAAAAGAGGAAAAAGAAAACAAAGAAGGAAAAGGAGAA